ATATATTCTCTTCTTCAGTGTGGTCATTAAAATCTTGTTATGAGAAACTGTTGAACAATATTTATATTCTTGTGAATACAGAATGAGTCACAATAATAGAAGGTAATGCATTATGAACATTGAAAGTCAGTTTCATTTTTTAAAAAGTTAAATTTTCACTGGGATGCTCATGTTATTAGAGAAACATTTAATCTGAGACTGATAGATATTCTTTATTTAAACAATTAGAAGGCAAGAAATATGTAGCACTACTTCTGAAAGGAGGCAGCAGTTTAAGTGCAGTACATGTCCAATCTTTATAATATAGCTGCTAAATAACATCACAGATAGGCACTATTTCAAACTAACATTCCAAAAAATAAACTTATTTGATAAAGGTGAAAAGGACACCTTCATAATCCTAAATGCTAATTTTAATCCACTAAGCCTTGCTTGGAATATAAGTGCTGCTTCACTGCAAATGTATTTTTTTTAATGTAGCTCTTACAGGTACATCAATTAAGCTCTTCACTTTTTGTGTTCTAAATGTGCAATTAAAACATCATTACTCTGCAGTAGCAGGTTTTCTCATTTAAGCTAGAAAAAAGCTGCCATTGAGTTGGTCATAACTGTACATGAATGTACTTGTCCTGTCTTAAAGCACCTCATACAGTGAGGTATTAAAAATGTAACAATTCAAGAGCAAGCTGACCAGACAGCTTTTAGGTATCAATGAGGCACTGTAAGTCAATGACATATGAATTTCCTTCATAAATATGGCAACCTATACAAAAATAAGCCTATAATTTATTCTCATGGTGATGGAGGTGATTCCTATAGCCCTGAAAATCGTTGCATTTTCATACCACGGTTTAATTTTCCTTCCTAAGAAAGGCTAGTGCTGGATAGGCCTGAACATTTATTTTAACATTTGGGGAACCAACGGTCATCTGTTTAATACTTTCTCTAGAGTCAGCATTTCTACTAAATGACTTATCTGTTCTATAATTTATTGAAAAATTTAACAACCTAGCGTGATGGAACAGAGAGCATTTCTGTAGCTAATTGATATTTAGGTGTAACTCAGTGTAAGTAACAATGCGGAAGCAGAAAATGGCATATAATCTTTTTAGATTTCTGGAGAGAACTAGAGCATCAAACGTGACTGAGGAGGAAGAGAATTCCTTATTCTGATAAGAGTTTTATACCAGTGTTACTACCTGCTAGCAGTTTTAGAACTTTAGACAAGTCACTTAAAAATCTCTGCATCTCCAGGGTTCATACCTGCCAAGAGAGTCAGTTTAACTCGGTGAACTTCTAATTCCCTTCTAACTTCAAACTACTATGACTTTTCTAAAGAAGCACTAATTCCAGATGAGATAAACTTAGGTAATCAGGACAAAGTTATCAGTGGTGTAACCCCTATGTAGACTTCTTTTTTACAAAAAGCCTACTCATTATATTAGAATGTAGAACTAGTGAGCTTTTACCACAAATACATCTGTCAGTGGCTTCCAGCTTCCTGTGCTGTGCGAATGAAGATCTTAACTGGAAATGAATCTTTTGAACAGATGGACGTGCACTGTTTCTTGGAAATTTGAAAGCTGTACAGTGTGCCTGCCATGAACTCTTCTGTGTGACTCATGAAAACAGATGACTGTTTGCATTGCCATTTATGCACATTCATCTACTCAGAAGCACATCACTGTTTCTCTCTTGATGACATTCACTGTTAGCAAAACAGTCCTTGATTTCAATTTTGGTAGTTAACAAATTCCTCTGGAACATTAAGGAAATTTAAAACTTCCCTTCTCTTCCCCTTTCCCTGCTCCCACCCCCCACCGTACACATCTGTTTATTCCAGTGAAAAATGACCCCAAATATTTCAGATAATTTTGAAAGACATCAGTATAATGAGATTTGTTTCCCTCAGAAATATAAAAAAGTCTTCAAAAAAGGAAAACAGTTATTTTGAATGTTTCAAAGAAATCTGAAGATTTTTAGATATCATTCCATATACCAGTATAGTTAGTACATTTTTAGAGACAGTTGAGATTTTTAATTCAATCGAAAGGTATTTGATATTAGGTTCATTTTTTAGACCTCTCATTTGTAAAGTCATAATTTGAATTGATAGTTTTCATCCACTTTGTCATTAAGCCTTACTTTAAAAGTTTAAATCTGTTCCAGTATCACACTCCAAGAATTTCAGCCTCACTACATGTGAAGGCTAGCAAAAGTAAGCAGTAAAAATTGTGCTTGAAAGCTGAATTTAAGATAGGTGGAGTTTGAGGAGAAGAAGGGCTAAAACTTGGGAGAAACTCATTTTAGTAGCCTAGAGATTACTGAGAGCGACATTTTCTTATAACCTGATCGGTTTGAATTAGAAATAAAAATGGTCTTAGTAACAACGTTTCCTTGAGATACCTGTCTGAATAAAAAATATGTTGCTGTCGCTATGAACAGAACTTAGTATAACTTGTAGAAGATAATGCTAGTACCATGCCAGAACTAGTAATCCTCTCTCCTCTCCATCCCTATCTTTTCCCATAAAATTAGGTTTAGAAATTATTATGTGTGGTAGGTTTTTTTTCAAAGACAAAAAAATCCCTTTCCGTAAGTTGCAAAATTAGAATCCATTTTCTGAAGTATAGAGAAGTATAGTCAGCGATGTTTAATATGTTGGGTGCTTTTATTTTGATCCCCCTTCTATTTCCCAAATATAGTCTTCTCTGGCTTTTTTTTTTTTAAATAATAGTCAAAATTTTTAAATAATAGTCTCAAATTCTCTATGTTGATCAAAATATGAATCTTTATTTCTAATTGCTTAGATGTTGGTATGACATAGCAGATTTAATTATGGAGCAATTTAAATATATAAAGAATGGACCATTAGGTCAGGACACAATCTTCATTTGGTTTATGGAAATTAAGTGAAAGCTTGATGGCTCAATATTTTTCTTGCTAATTTCCAAACTAATAGGCAGGTTGAACAATGACAGAGGTCCACTAATACACCCAGGGTTTTATATTGTCCATTTTCTATTCTTGGGAAAACAATCTGTTAAATTAGAGCCATCCATCATCAATGACAATATTATGTTCACCAATAATGATATATTGGCTATCTGTGGCCCTCATTTCAGTTCAAAGAATGATGCCCCCTTTCTTTTTAACAAATATAATTCAGTGCTTTTCTTTACTGACCACAGGAGCAGTTCTTAGCCTCTGATCCCTAAAGCTGTACCACGTTCATCTTTTCCTCTGAAATCAGGGGCACTTGGAATGCTAATGGTAACTATAAGGAAGAGTAGGTTACAGTTAATCCTGTAACACGATGTACACACCTGCTGCTCTGTGAGAAATAAACCGAGATGAGAGCTCATTTCTGGAGTTGTTTTGAATCTTTACTCCTCAACGAAACTTCTGTCCCTTCCTTAGAATCCGACCAACACTAGGATTCAACACACTAGTGCTCTAATGTGGAGCCAGAATTTTTTTGAGTGTGGAAAAAACAAAAATTGTCATCAGGCACAGCAGAAACCTTCTCTCTCTACTTCTCCATTTGAACTTGAAGAGTTTTACACATTTGCCTAAGGAACAAACACATGTCAGGTACTCCACTGTTCAACAGATTATTACAGGAAGCAAACCTGGGAGAAAGGGAACATTTCAATAAGCATAAAGGGACAGTAAGACAATAACTTCCTTTACCTCCATAAAAGTCACAAAGGGGATAGTTTTGTATCTCTCCTAGAAGATTATAAACTCCGAAATAAAAAATGTTCTCAGAGAAACACATACCCATAAGTGGAACCTAAAACAGCTTTTACAGGAAATTGATGCAAGGATAGTAAGTGTTTCTCATGAATATTTTAGAAAACATTCTGCACAAACTTAAGAAAAAAGTTCATTAAAATCCGGGAAGAAAGTAAACAGAAGCCAACAGACAATCTTTTTAACATAAAAGAGCAAAAGAATTATAGAAACAATATTATATAGTAATATTCAATTAGAATTCAAGGATCTAATATTTACAATCATTCATAGACTTGCCTGAATGTCCACGTGTATAGAAATTTGTAATTTAGTAAAGCATGAACCTAACTCATATACACTTTAATACTGATAAATGAGGCCAAATCATTTAACCAATGTATGGGTCTAGCCATTCATGGGCATTCTTATCTCAAACCAGCTTTGTTGATCTCTGCTCATCAATTATATAATCCTCAACAGTCTGAATGAGATCCATGACATTTTCCAGTTGTAATTTGTGATATATATATAGACTTTCAAAAGATTTTTTAAAATTTCTTTCCAAAAGTATTCCTGATATATATAACATGTACTATTTCAGTTTCCAATATTTGAATAACTTAATGTTTGAGAGTCTAACGTACGAAGAACTAATAGAGTCAAGAGGAGTGACTAGTAATTTAGAAGCAGGTAACGGGGTTTTGATAATATGAATCAAAAAAGATCTCCTACATAAATTTGAGAGCTAGGATAGTTAAAACTAATAGAAAAACTAATCATGTCATAATATAAAGAGCCATTTCCTAGTTTTGAAAAAAACTTGAGTCAGCAATAAGAACAGATCCCTTTCACTGCTAACCTTTGCCTCTCTGTCAAACTATAAGACTAAAATGATGGTATGAGGAAGAGCAGAACTTTTGAATTCTGGTCACCATGTTTACTTGACTTTATCTAGATATGCCAGAGCCAACACAGTCATGACATGAGTCAGTGTCATGACTTGCCATGGACTATTGTGACTGAAGGCAGAAGGATGAAGATGGAGAAAATGTACAGAAGCTTCATACTCTTTAGAAAAAAAAACAAGAAGTAGATGGAGAAATATACCACTTAACATTTCTTAGACTTCCATTTTCTTCACATTGTTCAAAAATGTGCAAAATCTTTGTTCTTAATTTCATATACCCCCACTGAATATTTGGAATGATAACATAAGTTTTATCCATATGTTTTATCTCTAATTAGTTTCTAGACCCTAGTCATCATTTTAATCTGTTCCCAACTCTCTGTCCAACTTTCACTATTTTAATCAAGGCTTTTATTCCATCTGGTTGGTACAGTTGCAATAACCTCTTAATTTGTCCTCCTGATTTGTCTTGTATCTTGTAGTTCTCTTCCTCTTTGCCACCACCATCATGACAAGAAAACCCTATATTAGTGTCCTATTACCAAAAAAAAAAAAAAAGAAAATTCTTTCTGGTTACATAAAATCATCTTCATGATTCAACCTCAACCCACCCAGCTTCATCTCCCCATCTTCCTTTGCCTAAAATACTCTTCTTTCAAACCTCAGAAGAAATGTTACCACTTCATAGTTCATAATCCCTGTGATTCAGCCAGTCAGCACTTTGTCCATACTTCTAAGATATATCTCACCATATTATGATTGTTTATTAACCTGTATATTAAATCATCTTCATGATTCAACCTCAACCCACCCAGCTTCATCTCCCCATCTTCCTTTGCCTAAAATACTCTTCTTTCAAACCTCAGAAGAAATGTTACCACTTCATAGTTCATAATCCCTGTGATTCAGCCAGTCAGCACTTTGTCCATACTTCTAAGATATATCTCACCATATTATGATTGTTTATTAACCTGTATATTTCTCCCACTCAACTATGATATATTGGAAAAAAGAATATTAGCATATATTTTGTTTTGTTGGTGCTGAGCATCATTCCAGGCACATAAATGATACCTAATATTTATTAAGTGAAAGATTGAAACAATAGATAGATGGGTGGATGGATGCACAAATGAACCAATAAAAGAATAAGTGAATTAATATAAAAGGAAAGTGATAATTTCAGGAGAAGGAAAATAAGAGCTACTATTTAGATTCTCCATGAATAGCAAGGGGAATGATTAAGTGACCCAAAAGGTCAGGTCCTCCATTTTTAATTTTTCTAGAATTATTCCCCTGATTCTGTGGTTTCAGTATTGAAATTATAGATATGCATGGGTCTTGACATCAGCTTCACATTCGCACCTTGGATATTTAAATTTATTCTCATTTGGAAAAGGTCTCATTTTTAAAACAAAATTAATTCATGAAAATAATAATGCAAGAGAGTAATAGCAATCTGTGATGCTTTAATTGGTGTTAGCCTAACCACTTGGGATGTGGAAAATGTCCAAATAGATACATCAAGGTTGATTCTGTCATATTCATTACAGTTAATATTTCACATAGAAATTATCCTAATTTTTTAAAAAGTGCACTTCTCTCTTGAGTAATTTTCACACTGCTGCTTAACACTGTCAGGAAAATTTTCTCATGAAATATTCTGTGGTGACAATTATCGTACACCTAGGTATTACATGCTCGCTTGACATCAGGTATGGTAGTACAATGAAATATCAAATTTCTTATAGTGGAACAAAGTGAACAAATACTACAATGACTGATTCACTCCCAAAATAATTTACTCCAGGCACTGTCCTAGGCGTGTGTGGCGGGGGTTGGGGGGAAGACAAAAATCACTGCCCCTGTGAATCTGACAACCTAGAGAGGCAGACAAAATAAGATGCAAGAACTAAAATTTTAAAGTATATTAGGCTGTGATAAGAGAAAAATGTCAAGAGGAAGAGAGGGATTTTTGAGGCAAAGATGTACAATTTTAGTTAGCATAGATAGGGAAGACTTGCTGAGAGAATGAGATGTGCATGCAATCTCTCCCCCTCTCCTTCACACTCTATTCTAAGTTCAGGATGCCCCACACCCTGCATTTTTTTTTTTTAAATATATAGGCTAGTATTTGAAAAGACAAAGAGAAGTTAATATTTGCTTAGCAAAATTCAACAGAATGCATTTTCTAATCTAGATTGGAATGTCAGACAATCAATCCTTCTATTCCTGAGAGAAACCTGGAACCTTCCTTGCCCTTTCTTCCATCTCTCAGATCTTAATTGCTGACATCAGTAGACCACTTAGTGCACATTCCTTTTCTCTTGTAACCCTCAGAATTATTCCGTGATATTTTCCCTGTCTACTATTTACTATTATTAGTTTTTGTTCCTTATTACTATTATCCGTAGTTGACAGTTAAAGAAACTGAAGCTTGGATAAATTAAGTGAAACTTCTCAAAGATGCATATAAGCAGTAGATGATAATCTGGAGAACTGAGATCCCCAATTGTGGGCCTCAACCTTAGTGAAATAGGTCCTGCATATCTGCTTTTTCCATTCATTCATTTGACTAATATTTATTGAGCACATACTAAATGTCATAGGTGTAAGGAAAAAAAGACAAAAATCACTGCCCCTATGAAACTGACATCCTGGAGAGGCAGGCAAAATAAGACGCAATCACTAAAATTTTAACGTATGTTAGGCCGTGATAAGAAAAAAGTCAAGAGGAAAAGAGATTTTTGAGGCAAGGATGTACGATTTAAGTTAGCATAGATAGGAAAGACTTGCTGAGAAAGCGAGATTTCAGTAAAAGCCTATAAGAGATGAGAGCTGGTCAGGCTGATAGCTGGAGGAAGAGCATTTCCCACAGAGGGAATAGCATGTGCAAATGACCCGAGACTAGAAAAAAGAGGGCAATATAGTGGCAGTGAAGTAAGCAAGAGGGGCAGTAGTAGAAAATGAAGTCACAAAGGTTTGTTCATTCTTCTATTCTTTTGTTTATTCAACAAATGTTATTTTTGCTGCTATTTTACTTATTAAGGATAGCTAAACTGGACAAAAGCAGATATTGTCCTTGTTGTCATGAAGGCACACAAAAAGGAACAACACTGTAGTTACCAGAAACACACATAACCTCATACCCTCCTTTCAAAAGCCTCATTCCTGGAAGTTGGAACTGGATAGAGCCTAAATAGACACAAGAGAACACAATGACTTATTTTTATAAGATAAGCCCTGGAAACCATGGTTCTTTCTGTTCAGACAGTGAAGAATAGCAAAGTTTAGGAAAGGAGAGGATAGTGAGTGAGTGTGCGTATGTGTAAGGGATGCAACAGAAATTTTTCCTGGCAAATGTTTTCAGCTGACTGGTAGCAAAGAATTCCTGAACGGATGACTTACATTCACTTATAATCTAGCTAGTTGGAGACATCCCCCAGTATAGAAAAACAGTCTAGAATAAGGTCATTCATCCCTCCACTATAGCTCTTAGCTTTTCCTGTCTAATGAGAAAAGTTTTAAAGGGATGTCCTCTCCACAGAATATTCAGCTGTTCTTGGGATAATGAAGTTCAAGAGAAATGTGAATTCAATCATGAGGAAAAAATACCAAATCTCCACTTTTTAGGGGGTTCTGCAAGGAAGAGATGGAGAAGGACTTAAAGTAATATCTGATGCTGAGAGAAAAGCATGCCTTAGGTGTTACCCCATCCATGGCAGACTGGTTTGAAATGTGTAGCAGAGGGGAAGCCAAAAATTATTTGGTCCATTTAGGCTTGTGCTACTCAAATATTTATTCTCATAACTTGGAGGCTAAATTGCCTGGGTTTAATCCTCCCTCCGTTGCTTATTTAGCTCTGTAACTTTGGGCAACCTCTTCATTTCTCAGTCTCCTTGTATAAAACATGAAGATAACTAAGCCTGGCTCATTGGGTGATGATTGTGAGCATTAAGAGACCTAGCATGTGTTAAATGCTTACAATACTGCTTGACCGTAGTGAGAACTTAATATTATCTTTACTAATTCTAGTAGAAATGGAAGTAGCATGCAAGCACCAATGAAAGTCACTTATTATGTGGTTTCTTCCTGAGAAATTAAATGTTTTTCTCATTAGGAAATGTTCCTCCTTAGCAATAATTTTTGCTGCAAATTCTTCTGTAGTATTAATATCATTATATCAGCTTTCTTTAGGTTAGTGTTTGCATAGTGTATCTTTTCATTATTTTTTATGTTCAGTTTTTATTCTTATAGTTTAGATGAACTTCTCTTAAACAGTATATACACTTGTGTTTTAATCTTTTGATCTGAATTGACAGTTTTGTATTTGCCTTTTAATTGGATCATTTAGTCATTTCCATTTGATATAATCACTGATAAATTTGAGTTAAAATCTACCAAGTACTTTCTATTTATTCCACTTGTTCTAGATTCCTTTTTTCTTCTTTTGCCTTTTTTTGTGCTCCTTCTAACATGGACAATCGCTCCCATGGGTTAAGAAACTCTCAAAACTGAACTAGTCTCTCTTGGTCTTCATCCTCCTCTAGATCCTGGAGCAGTAACTCCTCACTTTTTGTTGACTTTTCAATGCCTCCGACTATTCCATTTTATATGTTGACTTTTCAATGCCTCCGACTATTCCATTTTATATTTTATTAAACTCTTCAGTCTCCTTTAGGAGGAGGGGTAAAAAAGGGGGCACTTTGACAAAATTACTAAATATCCAATATCAAAAAGTGAAAGTCAAGTTGTGTGAGTTCAGTTTTACTGATGAACTTCGTGTTGATTAATCAATCACCAAATTTATGTAATGTGTGAAATTTATCTTTGATATTCTACTCCCATAGTACCTGTGTATTACAATCATGTTTAGATAGAGTCTTCTCTCCAAATTTTCATCTAGAGCTCAAAAAAGAAGCTAATTAGTAGCTTCTTAGACTTAGGGTGACTATATTGTCCAGTTTGCCTAGGATAATCCTGATTTACACATGTTATCCTGACTTCCTATTGGGTTTATCCTGGAAATATGTCCTAGTATGGACAATAAATGCTATCACTCACATAGTTACCCTTATTGTGAAAATTTAATTTTAGTAAATAATTCTTCAATGTTTAAATCTTCAAGCTGTGAATGAATGGCTCTTTAACAGAACTTCAACCACTGAGATAGGCAAAACTGAGCATTCCTTGATGCTTAAAACATTTCTGAAGCTTATTAAATCACATCAAGTTGCTAATAAATTTTCCAGGAAGAGTTCCAAAATATAGCTCTGTACTAACATCTTCAACCTTTCCATCACACAGATGAGACATGGACATTGTAGTGTGAAATACTGAGTATAATATTATGTTAGTGTTGTAATCCAAGGTCATAAACTCTGAGAATCAAATTAAAGCCATAGCACATATATTATCTTTGAGATAAGAGATTTATTATAACAAAGAGGTCAAATAGCCTTCTTACAAAATCTAGATCTATTTGAAAACATTAATTCTCTCAAGTATATGGTTCACTTACTAAGTTTCTTATTC